AAACATCGGATATGTATCGGATTCAGTACCACATACGAAAGTGACCCAGATCAGATTTGAAAATATCAGATTTGTGCCGTTCACACTGTCATACCATGATCGGATATGGGTCGCAGAGGGTCAAAAAAATTGAATTTGATGCATTTCGCCTGCAGTGTGAACGTAGCTTTAGTGGTGTCTCTGGATTTCATCTCCCTTACCTGTTCCCGTGTTGCTCTCATTGTGTTTCATTTTGTCTGCCCAGACTGTCACGTGTTTCCTGTCTGCTTGTTTCCTCTCCTGTTGTTACGTACTCTTTGTCTGGTTCTCACGGTGCATGAAGAAGTGCGTGAAGCCACCTTGACTTATGTGTATTATGTTCAGTTTTGCTTCCCCTGTTCGGTTAGTCAGATTTGCTTTGTCAGCTGTGTTTAAACCTGTTGCCCATCCTCTTGTTATCCTGTGTATTTATGTTCTTCATCATGTCGTCAGTCGTGATGTCCTCCCGTCATGTTTCTCCCCATGCTGTGTGCTTCATGTTTTGCCTCTTACTTACCATACCAAGAGTTTATTGTTTGGTACTTTTAGTTTGTAGTTCTCAGCACCTCTGGAGTCCTGTGTTTGGGTCCAACCTCTGCTTGCCACACAGCCAGGCCTTGGTAGGTCTGTAGTTCCAAAGTAAACAATGTTAAAACCAAAGGTGATCTTAAAGCCAAACATTATTGTCATAAGATGGTAATTATTGAAGGTAGTTAAAAGAAAAATAAAAGCAACAATCTTTCACGACACACCAACCCACTGGCATAAATATGCTCAGTAATATGAAGTAAAAAGTAAGTAAAATGCAGTCAATAATAAACATCTGTGCCTTCAGTTTGTTCATTTGTTTTGCTCATGTTCATGTTTTAAAATGTATCGCAACTTTAGTTATTGCAGCAGGTAGCCACGATGAGGAGCTATTATGCAAGAGTTATAAAGTGAATAAATCCATCATTCACCTTCTGTTGCATGAAACCACAACCAGACTTATGTAAAGGAAATCCTGCAAAGCTTGAAATGGGGTTTAGAAGGCACATCAGGGTGTAATCAAAGAAAATGTTACAGTTTATGCAAAACACTGAGAGGCACAACACACTTGAAAAAGATTTTAATGAACGCTGAAATTAGTAACAGGTAGGATTTTGCAGCAGTTCAGAACAGTACTGGAATTATTATCAATATGAAATCCTGTGTGTACGAAGGTAGTCTCAATAAGACTGAGACCTGTGTACAAAATAAATTATAAATATAATATAAAACAACATATTAAAGATGATCACAAATTAAGAAAAAAAAACCACATGCAAGAGTAGTTAAAAAAATGTCAGACTCAATAATGTCCCAGTAAAATCAGAGATTGTAATTTTAAAGTTTTTTGTGGCTTGTTATAGGAACCAAAGTATTTAAACCTGTTTTTTCCAAGTTCACTGTGAGGAAGAGGTACAGTCAGTGTTAAAGTGTGTACATTCAGGTAGGCAGTCAACCTATGCAGTACAGAACTGTAAATAAATATCATAAAATGTTGCGCTCTATTGCTGAGCAGCACAATCCCTCTGTCAAACAAGATGCATGGGCGAGTAAGAAAAGAATCATCTGTGATAAATCATGATGCACTGTGATACACTAAATCTAGAGGCTTCAAAGTGGATGTAGAAGCATGCATATAAAATATATCACCATAATCAATGTAGATAAAATTGTGAATGAGAAGCAAGATTTAGATGTAAAAATCTGATCTTTGTCTTTAATTTTTTTGAAAGGCATTCCATATTGTTTTTAAAAGGAGTCTCTCATCCAGCCAGAGTCTAAAGTATTTATAACAATCAACAGTTTCAATTTTATGATCATGAAGGGTCTGAATATGAACTGCAGGCTGGGTCCTTTTATGTGCGTGTGTGTGATTGCCAAATTGAATCACACACAGACTGTTTACATTACATTAAAAATAGTGTGAACTTGGAAAAACATACATAAAAGAGGTCCAAAAATAGATCCCTGTGGAACACCTTTGGTATATTACTGGTGAGTGGACTTGACTTTAAACTCATGTTCTAATAGAAAGATAGTACTTAAACCATTTCAAGGACTGTTCATCCAAACGAACTGAGAATACTGTTTCTAATTCCAAATTGATCTCCAAATTTCCCAGCTGTAAATGAATGGTTGTTGGTGCAGCAGTGTAATACAGTAACTTTTGCATTAGGAATTGCCATATCTATTTACATTTTGTTGCACTGGAGTCACCAGCAGTTGCTGGTAACAGATGAATGTGATTTTAATGACATTCATTATGACTAATACCACATGCAGTCATTAATTTTGCTTTTCAGTCTCATGTTAAAGTACAGCACACTCTATTTTCACTTCTTCACTCACCCACCTTAGTGGGTAAGTGACCTTTGGGACCTGTGATAAGCAGTTATGGAAAAACCACTGTCATAAATACTGTCATAAATACTGTACATCTAATAAATGTGTTCTGGACAAGAAACTAAGACAAAAGAAAGCCTACCAAAGTAACTTTACCTCCTAATATAGTTTTTGAAAAAAGTGAAAAGTGAATTCTTTTTCTATGAAAACATGCAGGGTGTGACTTTGCTGTTAATACCCCCAGAAACACAACTCCTCTCTATTTAGATTTGGCCCATTTAAATTTTACTCTGCCAATGCAATCAACTTGAGGGCATTCAGATGCCTGTAATTTCTGCGAATTATCTGTTTTTTCCTTTTAAGTGATGTACTGTAACTCACACTGATATAAAAATTATACATTTTAAAAGGTATATTGCAGCTGCACATTCGAGACTTTTCAGATCACTGCAAGATAGGGATTCAATTATCAGTAGATTGAGTCCAGAGTCTTTCTGACCATATTTCACAGCTACAATAAACATGTTCACTTGTAATAATTACACAAGATACCGATCTTGATTGGGTAATTAAGCAATAAGAAGGAACAAAAATTGCCTTAAAGAACTCTGCAACCAGTGAATATTGTCACTTCGTTCTTTTTTTTTGAGCCACAATGAAGAAGTTGTTGTGGATTCTTTGTCTGTACGTTTTTTGTCTCCATGGTTGTCAGAGCAGTGAGGTAAATGGAAGAGAGGACTTCATGCTTCTTGCAGGGCCTCTGACAAAGCAGGTGGTCAGAAGCTCAGACAGAAGCGTAAATGATGCCTTTGACTGCAGTCATCCCGTTCCTCCTGGCTCTAAGCAGTACTTTGAGTACCTGCAGAGCAGAGGGGTGACCCACTTCAAAGTACCGCTGTCATGGGCTCAACTTCTTCCAACAGGCCACCCCAGCCAGCCCCAGCAGGCTGTGGTTAGATGTTACCAGACCCTGCTGAAACAGCTGCTGGAAGCAGGTCTTCAGCCTCTGGTCATCCTTCATGGATGGACAGTTCCAGAGTCTCTACAATCAAGGTATGGAGGCTGGGAGAGCCAGGAGCTGGCACAGATGTTTCAGCAGTATGCAGAGTTTGCCTTCCAAGAGTTTGCACCACTTGCACACTCATGGGTGACACTGGATGGTGTTTGGCATGACGGGCAGCCTGCACATGCTCCCAGTTTTCTGCAGAACATCCTTCAACTCAACAAGAACATTTACCAGATGTACCATCAACACTTTCCTGACAAAGGTGAGTTAGAAGAAAAAGAGACAATTAAGATGAGATACTAAGCAAATAGAGTAAAAATCAGAAGTAAGAAATCTTGAGAAATTTCTCCAAAACATTCCTTAAAATCAGCTATTTTTAAAATGTTGCTGAGAAATCAGATGCAAAGGGTTTTACAAAGGGAGTTTTTAATTTCACCTTTAAAAACACAAAATCAGTATTTCAAGAAAACTGGTAAAAAAAAAAAAAAAGCATTTTAAAAATCAAGTTTGATTGGAAACTACTATCAAAAGGTAAATAAAACAAACAAAAATAAATCACCATTAAATGTCATATTTGCTGTTTTCCAGTTCTCATATATGTCAAAAAGTTACATTTTGGTGTCATAAAATAAACACATAGATGTGTATTTTAGGCGTTTTTGTAATATTCCACAACACATCAGATTTTCTGTATGTCTTAAGAAGTTAAAATACTGTTAAAAAATACCACCTGTTAAAAATACTTTATGGCCAACTGATACTGAAAGCCTTCAAAACATTATTTATCGGACATATTACAAGAGACTGTCGTGATTATCTCAGCAGCAATTGAATTCACTAAAATAATCTTGTATGTTTGTCACTGTACAGTTTGACCCAACAAGTCATTTTTACAGCAGACATTTTATATTAAAATAAATATTAAAAAAAGACTTTAATACTTTTACATTTACAGGAAGACGTCTGTCAATTGGGTTGAGAGCAACAGATATGACTTCCCTCTCCCACATTAAAGATTCAACAGCAGTAAGTTAAATACTCTATTTCATTATGCATGTAAACATTATGTATACCTTAAGCTTTAATTAAGACCAAGTCCCTTTATTGTTAAAACTGAAAAGAAAATCAATCTGAAAATAACAATGAGACATGCTTATTTGCCCAGAGCTATTAGAAATATGTGAAGCTTTTTGAGGGTACAGGGAGAATCACCTTTACCCTTGAATTGGAGATTAGCTTGCCTAGATAAGACAATCATACACAGCTTGGATCAGCAACCCAACCCAACAGCCCGATTAAATTCCAAGTGATCTTTCTCCATCACACACCCTTTCACCTTGTTGTCACATGCCCACATTCTGCTCATCAGATTTTTCTTGAGCCTAACCCATGAGCCTGATCACAGTGGTTTGATCACTGTATAAAACACTGCTCAGCCTGCATGAAGACTCAAGCAACAGAGCATAAAGAAAGAGAGTTCTCTGTCCAAGATCTAGATGCCTCATATATCAGGAGGGACCAAAGGAATTGGGGTAAAATGACATGCTGTTAAATCCAAACTCTTATTACCTGGTAGGCCAGTCTTGCCTACAAGGCAATGGTTAAAGCTTGTGATTTAACCAAATCAAAAGTTTGTTGATGTTGCTTAGCATCTCTGAGGCTACAATCCAAGACTTAAGATATGATATTGTGTGGTTTCTTTATGAGAGATGTAGTTACAATGCAATGAAAAAAGATGGAAAATAACATCACATTTATTCTTCTCATGGAGGGCTGTGTGAGGCAGATAGGATTTTACTCTGAACCCACTGCCAGATACTTGAACAAGAAAGCGACAGCTCAGAGTAGGCTGTATCACCTTTTGAAGCATACTTCCCCTGGTTTGCGTGTTTGGTGGTTGTGAACAGCGCTGTCCTGTTTTCCTGTTTCATGCTAAAAACCAACTTGAACCCAGTTTCTGCATGGTATTAATGCTACTTTCAGAAATGGTGATCTCCCTCTGGTTTGTGCACTTTGAATATTTTCTCAAACATGGTTGCCTGTTTTCCATTTGATGTAACCAGAGGACCACATGTTTGGTGGT